CGCTAATAGTCTTAATAGGAATTCGTCGATATGCAAGGTCTTATTAATTACAGAACAAGGTTAAAAAAGAATGTTTATTTAAAATAAATAATTTTGTTATATTGTATTTGCATACTTCTTTGTAACTTCCCTATAATAATCGAACACATATTGACTCACTTGCTTGCATTTATTCATCGAAGCTAAAAATTCGTTTTGAGAAAATTGACCGATGCTATGACAGCATATAATATCTTTATTAATACTGTCAAACGTATATGTAAATTCCGCTTTTGCATTCTGTAAATAAGTGAGTAATTATAAAAAATATATATTAAAAATAAAATTTCTCCCTGAAAAAATATATTATTAAAAATATATTATTAAAAATATGTAATTTTTATATTTTATTATCTATTATTATATGCTATTATTATATGCTGTTTATAAATACTTTTAACTGTGAGCTGTTAGGATCCATGATTATGTCTCCTGTTTCTTTCTCTATCATGCAACTTACAGCTGCAACAGTGAATTTCATTGAAAGTCCTGAATTAATTAATGCCAAACACGATGCATTAATGGCACAAGCTAATAACTGAAATATTTTATTTATTTACATTATTTAAATTACTTAATTTTTACCAAAAAATGATACACAATACAAAGTGAAATCTTACCCCACCAGAATCTTGCATCTCTTGTAGATTAATGCACACCATAGTGTTAGGATGAAATGAAACTAATACAGCAGATTCACAGGTCTCTTTTATATACGTTTCGATTAATCTATCATCAATCTCTAAAATAATTAATAAATAATGTAATAATAAATCCAAAGCAGTATTGTAACATCAGTTGATAATTTGTAAATATCAATTTTTAAAAAACTTACTCGCTGGTCCTTTAAGAGGAGTATATGTAACTTCAATTGAAACCCTGTCATATGCCATTTTTTGGCTTCTTGTTTCCAAAGGTCCATTAACACCTGCGATAATTGTAGTATCACCTATGTGTAAAAGAATAACAAACAAAATGTTAAACCGAAATAATATTACTTGAGATAAAGCTTATCATACCTTGCATAAACATTGTGGAACCATCGGATCTTGATAACAAATTAATTTCGCAGTTCATCGGTCGTAATATACAATTAACATCAGTAATTTTCTCGGTCATTTTACACAGTTATACAGATCTTCTACTCATGTAATAATTGGTAATAAAATTTGTTATTTTTCGGAATTCATTCAGCTATTGGGAATGTCTTAATCAAAGTGTAGACTATGCAGCACATATAAATAGTCTTTGGTATAAAAACACTTTTATTAGATAATTCTGCTTGCTCTTTTAATAAAATTATAGACAATTCTGATCGTTTTTAGTTTTTCTTTCATCAATAAACTTCAAACATCATTCAGATTGACAGAACAAGGATATGTAAGAGGTTAGAAATATGAGCTATTGAACACGTGGCGTCATCGACATGAAGTAGAAGCTTTCTCACTGGTGGCATTATGAATACTCGATAAAGAAGGTAACTTTCCAAGATAATACATACATGGCAAATATATAAATTTCTTCATATTATATTCTATTTAACAAATATATTTATATTTTATCTTCTTAAAGTATGCTTAATATATATAATAATTATTATTTGGAATATACTTTGAAGGTAAAAAAACTATGTATTATTAATATGTTCTAAATTATGTCCATCTCTTGGCGCACTTTATAAAAAAAGTATTGATATAAAAGTATTGATAAAAAAAAATATTGATATAACATTGGTGCGTAGAAATTTAGAAAAATATAATATAGAATATAAAGAAAAATTATTCATCGTCATCTCTTGTTTCTTCTTCTTCTTCTTCTTCTTCTTCTTTTTTTCTGTTTCATCCTCTTGTTTAGCTAACAACTTTTCTTTTTCTATAGAAAAAGATTATTTTTAGAAATATAAAAAATAATAAATATATACGCATGCTGAAACAGTCATTTTATAATTATATAAGAATATATATATTTCTTTTAAATAATCACTTGATGCCTCTTCTTCGATAGGATCACGAATTTCCATAATATCCGGTCCAATTTTGTACTGATTTTGAACAAGTGGCATGTCAGAAGGACTATAATTATACGCGTTGTATTTGTAACCCCAACCAATGTACACATTAGCGAAGCGTCTGTGAAATGACATCACCAAAGTTACATTAGCATAATATCATGTATGTTATATTACGTTAAATTTTTTTGTGTATGTAACGTCACTGCACAGTTCAATATATATAATTTCGCTTCTTATCTTACCTATAAGCTACAAATATTTATAGCAGAAAATGGGATATTAATTAAATAAAGTATACTATTCTTTTACTGCAACAACATTTAATTAAATTATATTTAATTATGTTGTATTTTAACGTATTTGCTAATAGAGTAACTGGCTATTAGATTAATTTAAACATTAATATCGACGAAGTTATATTAATTGCAATATTTGCATACTTCCCGGCTGCAAAGGCAAATGCTCCAGGCCAAATATTCGATCTGATAAAAGCAATTGCAATGTCTGGTTGTATATATGACGATTGTCTAGCAGTCCATGGTATCACAGAATCATCGATAGCATCTTCGGACAAAGGAATCAAGAGAGGTGGCCCAATTTCTTTCTCCATCATATATACTTTTGCTTTTTCTACTTCTTCTTCTTTCTACATAATTAAAAATTCTTATTTATTTAAACAGTTTGATAAAATAAGCTCTCTCAGGAGTAATCATAAAAAAATAATAATAATAAAAATATATGGTAAATATAGCAATTAAAGTATTTAATCAACTAATATTGACAATTTTTTCTTCCTTGTTGGAATTCCACCAGACACTTCGTCCTTGCTTGAGAATATATGGACTATGATGACACCAATTTAACATGGAGGGATCTACAAGATCCTTAATTGGCAAAGATCGATAATGAACATTTTCTGATAACTCTTCTTGTATATAAACTGTATATGAATAATATTATATTTAAATAATATAATGTAAAGGATTAAGATATTATAATTGATAATTTTTCAATTTGCATCTCTTTTTGTTACTATTTAATAAAAAAATAATCTCTAAAGAAAGCAAACAAGTTCGTTATATATATTACTTTTCTCTCTTTCTCCTTCTATTTCTTCATCCTCGCCTTCTTTACTGAGAATGAAAAAACCAATCGGCGAAATATGAGTGGTAGCGCTGATCCTTGCAATTTGTGCACGAAGATAATTTTTTTCAGTACCAGGAAACAATGGAATCTATCTCAAAACAAGAAAACAATATAATAAATTAAAAGGTTAAATTAAAGAAATAAGACAGGTCAATTAAATTGATTTTAAAACTAATTTGTTGTTTGATTTCACTAATTCTAATTTTCTTTGATATTTTATCTAATTTCCAAAAAGTATAATTATAAT